CCATTTGAGAAAGGGATCCGCTCCTCCGGACGGACAGGCTAATGATCTAGGACCTAAGCTAGCTACAGGACGTGGACCAGTGGCCGCTGAACGTGGACAGGTCCGGTGCAGGACTGAAGCACTCCCAGGCGGGTCGGGCGGGGCAGTCCGCAGGTGTAGATGAAGGAGGCAAGGCTCAGAGATCCCGTCATCGTACCATGAAACAGACAATGGGACAACGGGTGAATAGCAATGAACAAACTACAGTCAAAATCCTAAAAATGCTAAACAGATAAAGTAGGAAGGAGGAGAGGATAGATGAAGAAGGCGTGACTGCTTTGGAGCAGCCTGGGGATGCGGATGTTGGTGGTGGTGGTCGTGCTGCTGGTGCTGCTACTGGTGATGATGCAACTGCTGCTGGTGCTGATGCAGCTGCTGCTGGTGAAGATGCAGCTGCTTCTGATGACAGTGGAGGTGTTGAGATCCTTCGAGGCGGTGATGGTGTTGAGATCCTTCGAGGTGGTGGTGGTGTTGAGATCCTTTGAGGTGGTGGAGGTGCAGAGACTTTTGGAGTCGGCTTCCTCCCTTTCGATGGCTGCACGCGCTGCGCAGGCTGAGGTCTCAGGGCAAAAGAAAGGTTATCCATCAACACTTTTACTCCGTAAGTGTTCAGATGTGGCCCTTTGCCTTCAAAAAGCTCATGCCTATTCCAGAACAGATTAAAATTCTCATGCTGCTCTGTCAATGCTCACATTGACAGAGCAGCCATACTCCTGTGGACTCACCACCTGCAGGAGGATCAGTGAGGGGCCTGGTGCTCTGTGACTCGATCCAGAAATGGATTAAGGAAATGGATGGATGAAGGCAAGTCCTCTGCGTGAACATTTGTTGAGTAGGAAAGTATTTAGCTGATACAGACGACTGAATTTAATTTGCTTCCCGTCCACATTTGGTAGTGGGCCACTGATAACAATTGTTACGTCCATTTTTGCAAGGTCGTCCAATAAGAGAGTGTAATCCCGTTTCAACTTTTCACTTGTGTTGTCATAGACGTCTACTGCCCCCACGTGGATCAACAATCTTTTTACCCCGTCGGTCTCAGACAGAAGCTTTGGAGCCAACAGCCTTATCTCATCCACCTTGGCAGAGTGTACTGAGTGAACCTTGAGATTACGCATGTTTACATTCCTAATCGTAGAATCCCCGGTAAAGAGCGACTCAGCTGCATTTGACCTTGACTGAGACGCTACTACTTCCAAAAGTGGTGAATAGCGGTTCCTTAAGATTTTTGCTGTGGCATTATGACAGATTAAAAAGCAGCAAGCGTGGAGCAGCAAGAGAATGCGACTGCTCTGTCCAGAGAGAGACCATATATACATACGCACACATACAGACACACACACAAACACATATACACACACACACACATATACATACTCACACACACATACATACATCCACACACACACATGCACACTCAAACACACACGCACACTCACATATACACACGCACACACAAACACACTCACATATACACACACACACATATACACGCACACACAAACACACACACGCACACACACGCAAACACACACATGCACACACACACATACACACACACATGCACACACACACACATACACACATGCACACACACACACACACATTAATCTAATGAGGATTTCTTCTTCCTCCATATTAGTTTAGTTTCTGAAGATTGTTTTTGTAGCGTTAACTATTTACAGCTCGTTAGTGATTGATCATTCTTTTTGTTTCAAAAAAGGGTCCAAAAATGACCCATTTCTGGCATTACATCCTGCCCCCCCTCCCCCATCCGTCCTGTTGCCATGGCGACCGGGTCTCATCTCTGGAAGAGAAAGATGGAGGAGTGTTAGAGACAGAGGTGCGAAGAAACCACGGAACCAGGAGAACAGACACGCCATCTCAGCATCGTGATTGGGTGACTGTCAGAACACGCCGCGGGTCGCGCCGGGACACTCCCTGTTTATTTTTAGGAACGTGTTTGATCCGCGGCATTTACCTTCCAGCATCTTCACGTTCGTTACCAATGGGAACGCCGTAAAGTGAATTATATAAATGTGGTTATGCTACAAACTGTCTCAGAAGGATAACTGTATCACAACGTCTGTCTGAAGGCGAGTGCCCGGAAGAGGAAGAGGAGGAGGAGGAAGAGGAGGAAGAAGATGAGGAAAAGACAGAGTAAGAGGAATGGACAGAGGAAGAGGAGGAGGAGGAAGAAGAGGAGGAAGAAGATGAGGAAGAGACAGAGGAAGAGGAAGGGACAGAGGAAGAGGAGGAGGAGGAAGAGGAAGAGGAGGAGGAAGAAGATGAGGAAGAGATGGAGGAAGGGACAGGGCTCCTCCCAACAATATTCTGATAAATGTGTTTCCATATTTCCCACATGCAGGAGCAAACATTCAGACCTCACAGTGAGAAATGTGTGCACTGTGGAAAATAGATACCGGAGACAGTTGAAGTTCCAGCGCTGTCATCTGAAACTGTATCAAGATAATAACATAAAGTAAAAAAACAAACAAGAAAAACTGTCCAAAGAATGCACTGTAAGAACTCACTTTTTTGAGTCTGTAGTTTAGTAGTAGTAGTAGTAATCTTTATTTATATACCGCCTTTTCACTGCACATCGGAGTCTCAAAGCGGTTTACAATTGTGGTTTTTTGGGAGCAGGGTCGCCAGTACAGGAGGCGCATGCCAGACCTATTGTCCATGTTTTTAGTGGTAGGGGAAACCGGAGCACCCGGAGGAAACCTACGCAAACACGCGGAGAACATGCAAACTCCACTCAGAAAGGCCATGGTCCAACTGGGATTCGAACCCAGGACCTTCTTGCTGAGAGGCGAGAGTGCTATCCACTCAGCCACCGTGCCGCCAGTTTAATATTGTACTTTAATTTTATATTTAATATAATCAATATATTTAATATTGTTCTTTAATACATAGGAGAGGATTCAAACCTACACTGCAGACTTATACAAACCTAACAGGTCCGACTTATTTGGGCATTTGTTGCGATGGCGTTAGTTTTGTGTTATGTGTTACTGAGGTGGTTGCTAAGGTGGTTGCCAAGACAATTATCTCACATCTGGATTTACTTTTCTAAAGTATTTGAATGGATTGTATATAGGCACAGTGGGTACTTAAATAAAATGTGTATTTTAACTTCATGTCAGTATGGTTTTAGGAAACAGAGCACAACCTGTATGGCTGTTTTAGATCTTGTTGAAAAAGTAAATGATGCTATTGACAAAGGCGAGTGTGGAGTTGGTGTTTTCCTTGATTTGGCAAAAGCATTCGATACCATCAATTTTGATATATTGCTGGGGAAACTTGAGCATTATCGTGTCAGGGGTGTTGCCCTTGATTGGTTCAGAAGCTATCTATCTGAGAGAGAGCAACATGTACAAATAAACAGTTACAAATTTCAAAACAAAATATCAAATGTGGGGCACCACAGGGTTCAATACCAGGACCACTTCTTTTCATTACATACATAAATGACTTAACAAATTCAACTGATATTGTACACAAAATATTTTTTGCTGACGACACAAACTTATTTTTCTCTCACAAAAACATGCCTTTTTTACAAGAAACAATGAATGAAGAACTGACTAAAGTAGATATCTGGCTAAAATATAATAAATTATCCCTAAATATTAATAAAACTAATTGTATGATATTCTCTTCAAATAGATCTCGTAAAAATAAAGATATTTGTATAAAGATCAACGACAGAATCTTAGATAGAGTTCATCATACTAAATTCTTAGGCATCTACATTGATGAATTTCTAAATTTCCAAAAACACATTGATGAACTTACCACGAAACTATCTAAATATTTAGGCATGTTTTATAAAATCAGACACACTCTACCTTTTGAAGCACTCCTTGTCCTGTATAAATCTCTTTTCGAACCGCATCTAAACTACTGTAAGACAATATGGAGCCTAACCCTAACCCTAGCTATTTAGACAAAATACAAATTCTTCAAAAAAAAGTAATTAGAGTCATAACATGGTCTGATTACAACGCTCCCTCAAATCCACTTTTTTACAGGTTGAAGCTTCTGAAACTTACTGAGAGTAACATTCTATACAATGCTTGTGTGATGTATAAACTAAGTGATCGCCTCTGTCAGCTCATTCCTATCTCTACTTCTACACACCCACACGACACTAGAAGGAAACACTACTTCTACACACACACACAACACTAGAAGGAAACTCTGGCTGAATGGCAAACGCCGCAAACTCAAATGTACCAGTTTTAGTATCACCTTCAAAGGTCCAAACATCTGGAATGTTTTGTCAGTGGGTTTGGGATTGTGTAGTAGTATGGAATGTTACACTTGTTTCTGCATGTGTTGTTTTATGTGTTATGTGTGTCATGTGTTGTTTTTGGGGCCCCGTCTATGAGCTAATGCAGCTTCCTGGGAGTTCCCTTTTTACAAAACACCAACCAACACTACATTGTAAAAGTGTATAACCAATATGGCTACGAGTTTTGTAAATAAAAGAATTGATTGATTGATTGATTCACTGTGGTTTGGAAGGTCACATGTAAAGTGAGGCAGGATCATTCTCACCTTCTCATTTTCTCCCTCCCTCTCTCTCTCCTCTCTCTCTCCTGTCTCTCTCCTCTCTCTCTCTCTCTCTTTCTCCCTCTCTCTCTCTCTCTTTCTCCCTCTCTCTCTCTCTCCTCTCTCTCCTCTCTCTCTCTTTCTCCCTCTCTCTCTCTCTCCTCTCTCTCTCTCTTTCTCCCTCTCTCTCTCCTCTCTCCTCTTTCTCCCTCTCTCTCTTTCTCCCTCTCTCTCTCTTCTCTCTCTCTCTTCTCTCTCTCTCTCCTCTCCCTCTCTCTCTCTCTCATTTCTCTCTCTCCTCTCTCTCTCTTTCTCCCTCTCTCTCTCTCCTCTCTCTCTTCTCTCTCTCTCTCTCTCCTCTCCCTCTCTCTCCTCTCTCTCCTATCTCTCTCTCTCTGCAGGTGTGAAGGCTCTGCCGGTGGACGGGTTGGTGCTCTCCTCAGCAGGACCTCGCTCTCTCACTTTACCGTCCGTAAGGGCTGGACCGAGGTTCCGTGCACCCACTTGGACCGTGCCGCCACGTTCGTCTCGCCATCGCTTCGTGCCCGCTCAGTCCCCATCATCCCATCTCTGCAGGCGAACCGGTCCGAGCCAGGCCAGCCCTCTCTGACTGCCATGGACGACTCTGCTTCATCTGTTCCTTACAAGACTCTTGGCGCTGGATCCTCAGGTCACGTCAGCTCCGCCCTGACAGCAGGTTCGGCGATGGAACTCAGGTGGGATTTGGAAAACATGGACGCTCAGACTGAGACTGGCGTGAGCGAGCGGCAAAAGCCCAGCGCAGGTTTGAAGGCGACGGGCCAACGAGGAGTCCAGGACCCGTGCCAAGGTCAGACAAACCTGGAGTCTGGAAGTGCAAACTGTTTGTTGGCCGCCGCCGCTCCCAGGCCGTCTGCGGCTGCTGCGGAGCGTGCCAGGCCGTCTGCGAGCTGATTAGATGAACTCTGTAAAGCCTCACAGACTCCAATAAAGTGTAACACCAGCTCAGGACTGTTAGCAGCTGGATCTGAGGCGCTGTCGGACCGAACACCTGCTCCATATCTGCCCTGGAACAGAGTGAACTGAGGAGAAAAACTGTGACACACAAAAGAAGTGACTGTGAACGTGGCTTTGTGAACGAGACTTTGTGAACGAGACTTTGTGAACGAGACTTTGTGAACGAGACTTTGTGAACGAGACTTTGTGAATGAAACTTTGTGAATACGACAGAAGACGGAGTGGGAGCTTGACTTAAAGTGAATTGAACAAATGCAAACCACTATTTAAAAAGGATCTTCTACTAGAAACCAAAATAGTGTCATCTCTATGTTGTTTCTCTATTGTAAAGAAATGAAATTATATATGTCATAATATATATGTCAGGCAGACGTATATATATTTGACATACAATTGTGACAAAATAAAGATAATGGTGTTAAGAAATAGATTTTATTTTTGTTGTTGCTGGTTGTTTTGGGGAAACAAATGGAAACTTTTCTGTGGAATATCTCCAATTTAGCAGAAACTATTCATCTTAAATAAAAGGTGATGGGAGTGAGGAGGTTAGTGCGGGTGATGGGGGTGAGGAGGTTAGTGTGGGTGATGGGGGTGAGGAGGTTAGTGTGGGTGATGGGGGTGAGGAGGTTAGTGCGGGTGATGGGGGTGAGGAGGTTAGTGCGGGTGATGGGTGTGAGGAGGTTAGTGCGGGTGATGGGGGTGAGGAGGTTAGTGCGGGTGATGGGAGTGAGGAGGTTAGTGCGGGTGATGGGAGTGAGGAGGTTAGTGCGGGTGATGGGGGTGAGAAGGTTAAGCTAACAGAACTCGCGAAGAAGACCTCTCCCTGCATTTCATGAGAAAACCAGACTTTTGCACAAACCGAGTGGAGTTATGGTGCACGGAGAAGAACGTGTGTAAACCCTAACAAGAAAGAAGAAGGACACACAATGAGACAAAGAAAGACATGAGAAAGTGATTGAAATGAAGAAAGAAGGTGATATCTTGAAAGAAGAAGAAAGAAAAGTGATTGTTTAAAGAAGAAGGAAAAAAGACATGGAGACAAAGACATTGGACACTTGAGACAAAAGACATTGAAAGACGCCATGAGTAAAAGAAAGACATTAACGGACATTTGAGACGTGGCTGGCCTAAATGAGACACACAGAAGGTAAAATATACAGACAGACAACAAACGCACAGAGACATTATTAAGTATATTTACACATTTAGCTAGGTCATTCGTTCATAACACCACATTTAGCTGCATGAAAGAATACAGGACAATCGTTAAAATTAATTCGACTCTTTAGCATGAGACACAAGGAGATTAGAACAGCAGTATATTTAAAATAGAGGAGCTCTATTATTGAAACTAGTATTATTATTTTAAAGTTATAGACGCGGAGAAGTTTAGAATGATTGATTTTGACTGCATGATCTTGGTAATACGGATATTTAAAGCAGTGTTTTCAACCTTTGAACCGTGGCTCGTTAATCTATTTAAAAACAATCACATGCACAGTTGAAACTGGTGCTGGAAAGAGAACTGCAGCTTTTTAATGGACGCTGCATTTAGTACAAAATGGTTTGTTCAGACAATTAAAGTTTGAAAAATGATTTAAAGCATTTCTGAATTTTGGCTAAAGGTGATATTGGATCATTTCTGATAACACATAGACGCAACACTGTTCATTGGTTGAAAACACGGATGTAGGGACATTTTATGAAATCTTTTATGACATGTTTCTCTTCCAAATAGCTAAATTAGAAACAATTAGGACAATTATGTCTTTGATAAACTGTTGGCAGTTTATCTGAGACATGATTGGCGCAAGTACACACACATAAAACAATGGTCTTTTCTCCACATGAACGTGAAACAAAGGTGAAGTATTAAAGTTTGAAACTAATTTACATTTTTAAGGAATCCGAACTGGCTTTAAAAAAAAAAAAGGGAAAAACATTTATTGCACGTGCATGAGTTTTTTTTTTAGTAACAAGAGCTCATTAAAAATATAGGGGACACAGTTTGTGACAAGCCCGAGTAAAGACCACGTGGTTTAAACACTAAAGTTTAAAATGGATCCTTTTAGGAAAAATCTCTCAAAGCTTTGCATGTTCTGCAGCTCTGAAAGTTGCAACTATAAAATAGCTCATGAGACAATTGTAATTGGACATGGAAAAATATAACAAAGTTAAAATTACAGGCCTCTTGTGTTGTCTATATGTTTGTGTATGTTATATGTTATATGTTTGTGTATGTTATATGTTTTGTGCGTCATGTCCAATACACTACGTTGACCTTAACAAACTGGACCAATACTAACGTGGGGTGTTGTGAGTGTGTTGTGAGTGTGTTGGGGAGTGAATGAGGAGTGCTGAACGGAATCATGGAATAACAAAAGTTTTCTGTAATGTTTTAATGTGATCATGGAATAATTATTTTTTGTCAACAGCATACGGTGTAAGTACTAGAGATTCAAAGATGACAAGCTTTATTGAACAGGTGTAAAAGTGAGAGTACTCTGGGATGAGTACTCTGAGAAAAGTACTCTGCGGAAAGTACTCTGAGATGAATACCTTGCTGAAGGTACTGGGAGCCCCCCCTCTGCTGTTTGCCCGGACAGTGATTCGGTCCAACCGCATGAGAGCGGTCATTGGGCGGAGGACAACTTTGGTTTGTAAACTCACATTTAGGGGAGTATAAAATTAGAAACATACATATTGTTAAGTCTGTATTTGGCTACAGCCTCGCCCTGATGCCACACACCGTCTGTCAATGCAGTTATGTTTTGCCCAATTGGATTGATTGACAGGCCGCACCATGCGAAGAGAGGAAAGTGGGCGTTTCTTGTGTTCTAATGTTTGTTTTTCAGATGAAAGATAAACTGCACCTGCTTCAGGGATAACACAGTAGTATGGATCATAAGGAAAATGAGCCTCTACTTTGGCACCAAAGCCCACAATATGAATTGAGGACGATCCGGAGGAACAACTGAAGATGATTGGAACAGTAATCTACACACACACAGATGCATGTTTTATACTTTGGACCACGACCAACAGAGGGAGTATAGTAATGTTATTGTCATAGGTGGTCATGGTCCTTAACCTTCTAAATCATTAGAAAGAAGTGTAAAACATATATTTACAAGAATAAAATAAATAATAGAAAGGGCAGCCTAAAAAAGCAAAATGGGAAAATTATTAAGTAATTTCGGAGTTGCCAAAATGAAATAAAATTCTATATTTGTCCCATAGGGGGTCATTCTAAATTTAGTGTTGTGCAAATTTAAAGGAGAAATAATAGCGCTTATAACATCAAACAGATCTACTCTTTAAGATAATAGATCATACAATAATAGAATAGAATGAAATAGTCTGGAGCTATAATGTCATTGGATTCGAGGAGCTATAGGTTGAAAGGTCGCTAGGAAGAGGTGTCAGAATAAACAATAGTAATAATAGTTAGACTAGTGAATAATCAAAATAGTTCTATTGTGGAAATAAGTATCAATAAGGTCAAATTGTTCTAATAACTAAAGTAAAAAGGAATCAAATGGAGTCAGATTTTAGATGTTTCTGTTTTCCACATCTGTAGGAACTGGTGCAGAGGTGTTTATAGAGAGTAGTATTAAAATGCAGACATAGAACGACAGGCTTTAACAACAATTTTAAATCTAAAAATAGCTCAAATATAACATTGCTCTTGACGCAGCCTCTGAGCTGCTCCATTGGAGAACAGGTTAAATGTTATTGTTTATTACAAACAGCTGATGTATTTACACACATTAAGTTTGGGACAACTCTTTAAACAGTTATAAGCAGCGGACAGAAGCCATGAATGTGCTTTTGTTTATTAAATAATTAATTTCATAGCCTTATAATCGTAGAGAACGTTTTAAAATAGTTAAAATCCCTTTCAGGCAACTTGATTTAGATGTATGTCTTTAATATTGGAGAACGACTGTGTTGTTTTTGGAATTGTCTGAAATACAATACATAGAATAGTGATTTGCAGAACAAGAACCAGCCAATGAAAAATCGTCTATTGCCAATGCTATTGTTACAATCAGAACTCAAAAATTGGGAATATGCCTTTGCTCAAGCTGCAACCGAGCTTTAGAGTCACAATAGAGTAAAAATAGGAATAGATAAATGCATCAACCATAGATGCTTTCAAAAATAGAGATTATTTTTAGCCAAGGCTAATATCAAACGGTAAAAGGACCATTTCCTTCATATTATGTCCAAAAGTATTTACTTCAAAGGTAGATAAAGTTCATTACAGTTTATGCACAGGTTTATTAGATACTGTCAAATTCGCTTGTTTCAAACATAGGTGAATGTTAACAATGCCAAAAGTTAATGAGATAGATTAGAAACAACAGAGATTCAAAAACATTTAAAAGCATTTAATGTATTTGGGTATAGCACAAAAGTAGATATTTAGGTATTTTTTGAGAATTTTAAGAGCTGTCGACTTGTCAATATGGATTAGAAAATCGAATACCATGGTAGAGAAACTGACCCCAAAAACCTGCTAAAAATAGATTAGCTCCTGTACGGATATTACCAATTTGATTAACGATGTACATTTATCCCAAACGGTCTGAGAGAAGGAAGTGACAGCACTTCCTGGTTCAACAAAATGTGTTTGGAAAAATGAGCAAAGCCCCACAAAATGGCACAGAGCCACTGATAATGAAAGCAAACCACAGTATAGATAGATTTATTAGATAAAAACATATGTTTAAGAATATGGCTCAATAAAAGCAAAGATGCAAACATATTGGTAAATAGATTAGAATAGTTTAAACTATAGTGAATAGTTTTAGTGCATACATTACAGACGAGGTTGAAGAAGAATCAGAATGACAGCAGTGGTCATCAAAGAGTTTTGTGAAGGAATGTTTCGAATGTTGTTGTGTGTGTATTCTTTCTGTATTAACTCTTCACAGATAACGAGCCAGAACCAAGAACCAAGGCGATGATGGACGAGCTCCCCAGTCTCGGCACCCAGAAGGAATATTGAAAGATTGTGACCTAAATTGGTTTAATATAGGTCAACAGAGGGGAACTGTTGTATATTTTAATATTTGACCATTTGAACATCATAGCCAGAAAGACCTCCGTGCACTCAGGAAAAACCCCAAGGACACAGGATAATCAGACATGAGTCATAAAGATAAAATGCTGTTTAAACAGGGCGAATTATTAACTTTAAATAATAAACATTTTGACGAGGACAAGAGTTCAGAACCTGAATCTTGAGGCAGACTGGGAGATTCACCAATTGCATTCTGACGCCTCCCAGTGGACAAGGGACGTCAGCACACCCGGAAACTCCACCCCTTGGACGCATAAGGATGACGTCATCGGAAGTCTCCCTCCTGTGTGTTTTTTTTGAGGTCAGACAGGACAGGGCACGGACAGGGGAAGAGCAGGCCTAGAATAGGAGCACTTTTGTTGAACATTCTGTATCTGATTGTAAAGATAATTAAATGCAGATGTTAAACGTGAAGATCTCTTGTCTCGCTCTTGCATCGACTTTGGATACGTCAGTCAAAGGGAATTATTGACTTCAGTCTTATGTCACCGGTACCTAGGTCTTATACCACCGGTACCTAGGTCTTATGTCACCGGTACCTAGGTCTTATACCACCGGTACCTAGGTCTTATGTCACCGGTACCTAGGTCTTATACCACCGGTACCTAGGTCTTATACCACCGGTACCTAGGTCTTATGTCACCAGTACCTAGGTCTTATACCACCGGTACCTAGGTCTTATACCACCGGTACCTAGGTCTTATA